TGTCAGCCAGTAAAGCTCCTACAGGATGGCAGGCTTATATACTGCACTCCTAGAGGATATGATCAGCCACTATATATAGGACTTCAGGGATAGTCCTACAAAAACAGATTACAGTAATTCAGTTGGTACTATCACAGCATACATATATATACATACACACACACATACACACATATACACACGTATACATACATACATACATACATACATACTTAGGTCTCTCTTTTCCACACGGGACACAGTTGGTATATCAACCTAAGTTATTAAAATCACACCTAGTTATAACTTCTACCTTGGTTGTCTTTTCTACTAAGACAAGGGTAATGGCAACCTGTATGCTTAGTGAACTAACAGGTAATAAGTAAAGAATTGAAAATGTTAATTTTTTCTTGGCTCAAAAATAGCAAAGAGGGACAGTGTGCTGAAGAAGTAAAGAGATTAATCCTATAGAGAAAAGCAACTGCAAACTTAAATAATGACAACAAAGGCCAGAATAGTTAAAAAGTAATGGTATTTCCAGTTATAATCTATAGCTGTGCAAGCTGGACACTGAGAAAGAATTTATCTTTCTATTATGGATTTGGAGATTGTTACAAAAAATATAATGGACTGCAAGACCAAATCCTGGATCAGTAATGGCTGTCTGCTCTTCTAAGGTAAGCAAGCAGAAACTGATCTCCACTGGCCATATGAAGTGAGAGAAGGATAGACTAGAAAGAATTATTATGCTTGGTAAAGTTGAGGAAAGTAGAAGAGTACATCAGATAAGGTAGATGGACAAGTTCAAATAAATTGTTGGAATGATTTTGAAATAACTATAGGCTACTACCAGAGGCAAATCATGATAGCAAGAATTTGTCCATATAGTTCCCATGAGTCAAACCTGACTAAATGGCACTTAATTAACTATTTATAGCTCAATGCTAGAAACTATTTGCATGCAAAAAAGACGAAGCAATTCACTGCACTTGTAATTGCTATATAAGGTTGGAAAATTGGAAGGTCACTACCAATCAATGTCAATGATGATAGGTGAGATAGACAAATGTCTAGGTAGCTTCCTATATGATCAGTATATTATACTGTATATTACATTGCTCCTGTAATGTAACAGGTACAAATCTATTCCTTTGGAGTGAATAAAATCTCAACTGGAGCAGTCTTGTCTGCTTAACTCAATAACAGTTTCTTATCTGAACTGAATTTCAGCTTTTTCATTCTCACTTAGCCTGTTAAGCCAATTTCAGCAATCATTTGTAACCATTGGCATTTAATATAAAGAGTAGTATTGCAGCATGATTTGAGCCCCTATTTCCTACTTCCTCTTAGTCATGATTAAGACATTATTCTTTGTGAAAATGGTACTGGCATGGATTCTTGATAGCTAAAGCTGTCTCAGTCCTGAACAATGGCAAGAAATCAGAATGAAATGGGTAGAATTTTATCCCTGATTATCTGAAGTTACTTGATACAGTAACTTAGTGATCTGTTTTAATGTAAGCTACTCTGAATGCGGTAAATGAACAATTACAATTACAATTAATTATGTAAATATTTCAAAATTTATTTTTCTATTTAGAAAGCAAGCAACAGTCATGTTAAAGATGAATGTTACAGACACAAACTGGAAAGCGACTGACTACTTCAGAAGAAAATGAGTAGTAAAGACAAACATCTCATAGACACGCAACAGCAGAAAAAGTATTATGTTTGATTATGCAAATCAGTGAGGTAGTGCATTCTTTAAAATAGGCTGCTATTTGATAAGCCAGTTAGGTATCTGGATTAAGATTTCTAAAAAATGTTTCATTTTATTCCTTATCCACACCCATCAGACGGAATGAAGCTGTAATACAATGAAACTCCTGCAAGAACAAGTTATTGTTTGGCAAAGTATTTGGAACTGTGACATTAGCAACCTGAACTGTCACTAAATAAGCAGTGCTTATATGCTGTAATTAAAATGACCCTATTTCACCTGAACTTACCAGAAATCTTTCTGGAATTTTCAAACATTAAATTAGAATTCTGGCATTCAGTTTATAATCTACAAGATGAAAGCAACTAAAAATTACAAAAAATGATTTGCACAGAGTTAGAATCTTTATCATTTCCCCCTTTCATTAATACAATTATAATTAATCAAAGTTGCAATATTGATATCTAAGCAAGATTAGTCCAAATGGATTGAAGTAAGATGAAATGGCTTTACACTGCTTCCTTGCATCTTCTAAGAAAATGCACGACGCAGCTACAAATGCATGTTCTATATACTTATTACACCAGAGCCGAAATTTCCATTAGGAACATGTTTAGAACAAGTTTATAATAATTAGTAAATTTCTGCAAGCTCATCACATAAACATTATTAAAATTAAAACAAACTGAATTATAGCCTGGAGTAGGTTGTAGGGTGGATTCAGATTAAATTACTTGGATTCAACATTATTTACTGAGCAAGGTTTTGGTGACTGACAACAGGTAGCCCTCAATTACTGACCACAATTGATTGGGTCTGGCAACTCTGTCGCTAAGCAACACGGTCATAAAATGAAACTTCACATGACTATGCTGATTTATGACATCAGGTCTGGCTGCAGTCATGAAGTGAATCACCCATGGTCATTAAGCATGATGTCACATGACCATGACTTGCAACTTCCTGTCAGCTTCCCCATTGACTTTGCTTGTCGGAAGGTCACAAATGATGATCACATGACTGGAGAACACTGTGATTGTCTTAAATGCACACTAGCTGCCAAGTGCCTGAATCATAATCGCATGACTGCGGGGATGCTATGACAGTTGCAACTTCAATGACCAATTGTATATTTCCTTTTTCAGCACCATCATAACTTTGAACAATCACTGAATGAATGGTTGGTAAGTGAGGACTACCTATATTCGGTTTAGTCAACCACACTCATTTCAAGAATTATTTTTTTTCCAAATGAGTAAGTAATAATGTGGAAAGATTTGCTAAGGAGGATGGGAAAAAGGGGTAGTTGGTTATCCTTTCCTATCCATCATTTCTTCTGTAGAAGTCTTTCCCCTAAGACTTTCCCCATCTAGGTCCTTAATTCTGCTCTCACAACATGAGGTGAAGAAAAGTTTGAATACAGAGAAAACAGACATGTCAGCAGTTGCAGAAAGAGCTTTCTCTCCCACCAAACATGCCCTTACAATCCTTTTATTACATTAGCATATATTTGCTTTCTGAATGCCTTTATTTTGATCATGTTAATTTGTTTCAAATCAACAGTGAGAGAAAAAAGTTACACTTTTTACAAAGAAATGTACATTTTAAGCCAAAGCTGCTAATACTAAGCACAGTGTAATATCTACCTGTTAACATTTTCCTCAGCCATATTTATTAAAAATCAAACAATTAAAAAGGACATAAAATATAGTACTTTGAAGCCTCTACATAAGAGGCATAACCAAAAAACACAACTCCCTGGTTACAGGCTTCTACTTTATGAAGCATATTTTGCTGACATCTAAAATTAAAGTTCATGAGTCAGTTTTAATTCTTATTTATAGACTTCAGAAACACGGTCCAAACAAGTCTGTGTTTGCCTTATATATCACCTCACTTGGTTCTACTGTACAATCCCCACCTTTTGAAAAATATAACTATCCTTTGGGCATGTTTTTGATGAAATCATACAGGTTCTAAATTTGCCATGCATTATATAGAACAGACTAAGAGTAAGTTTTAGAAAATGAACAAAATCCACTTTACCAGTTTGCACTGACATACCTACAGCCAGTCTTAATCAAGATTCCAACGTGAGACCTTTTTCCTAGCATACATTATATGTTTTGGATTACAGCTCCAAACTATTTTGAAAGTTTACCCACATTTTTCCCTAATATTTAAAATTTAAAACTTAGTTTCCTGTTATTTGGCTCCATGACGGGTAGATACTCCTTAGGCTGCCAAATCTTGTACTAATGATGCCTCAACATGCGCTCTACTGACAGCATCCTACCAATTATAAAACTCAGCTGTGGAATAAATTAAGCCAAGAAGAAAGGTTTTTTTTTTTCCATTCTTAATTATCACAGTGCTAATACATCTAGTAAATTAGATACCAATAGAAGAGAATATACGTAGCTCAGGGTTGAACTATGGAGTCCTTGGTGTTCTCAGAGCTTGGCTGTTTTCTTGCAGACATTTCTTGACTAAGTAACATCTTCAGTGCTGGAAGGGAGTGGGGTTTGTTCTCTGTTTATATACAGTAGCCTGTCCTGTCAATGTTGGTGGGGATGTTGTTTTCTCCTCGGTAGTTCCTTGATTAGGCTGTTGTTAACTGCTTGATTGTCTGAGTTGGTAGTTCCTTGATTAGGGTATTGTTTGCTGCTTGATTATTGGTCTGGCATTAATCCTAGTGTTAATCCCTGCTTATTTGGGTGTTGATTGCTTGTGAGGAAGTGTTCTGGCCTTTTTGTTTCCTTTTTAGCTTTTTTATTGTCTCTTTTGAATGGTGTGTAAATGTTGTTTATTTCTATGGGCCTGTTGATGGCCGACTTGTCTGAATACCAAGCTTCCAGGAATTCCCTCACAGTTTTAGATTTAGCTTGGTCTAAGATGTTGACAGTTTCCCAGTTGAAACTATGGTTGAGTTTGTCCATGTATTGTAAGATTAAGGAGTTTTCATTGTGTCTTCTGTCTGCTAGTTGGTGTTCATGGATGTGCTCTGCTAGTCTTCTGTCTGTCTATCCTACATAGTGGCTGTTACAATCCTTACACTGTATGTTGTAGATGACTCCTATCTTTTATTCTCGGGCTACTGCGTCTTTTGGTTTACTTAAGATGTTTTGGAGGGCTTTAGTTGGTTTGTGTGCTATGGTGATGCCATGTGATTGTTATAGTCTGTTGATTGTTTCTGAGATGTTTCTGGTGTATGGCAGTGTTATCCTTTTTGTAGCTTGTGTTGGTTGTGCTGTGGTGGGTTGAGTGGTCAGGCGTTTTTTGATAAAGTTATGTGGGTATCCATTTCATTGGAAGATGTTGCATAGGTGGTCTGTTTCCTTTTTCTGGTGTCCTGGGTTGCTGCAGTGCATTTGTGCTCATCTGAATAACATTCTTCAGTTCTTGCAGGAGGTTGGGTTGTTACTTCGGTAATGGACCGCTTGGTGTGGGTTGTTTTTCAATAGACTTGTTTCTCTAATTTGCCGTCATTTCCTCTGCTGAGGTGGATATCCAGGAAGAGTAGTGTGTTGTGTTCTGCTTCCCTTGTGAATTTTATGTCTTTGAAGATATTGTCGATAGTTTTATGTGCCTTGTCTAGTGGTTCCTTTTTTATTATGACAAAAGTGTCATCTATGTATTAGATCCATACTTTGGGATATATGCGTGGGAGTGTTATAGTCTCTAGATGCTACATTACAATCTCTGCTATGAGTCCTGAGAGTGGTGATTCTATGGGTGTTCCTCTGATTCATTGGTATATTTGTCCATCAAACTGAAAATACATAGTGAGGCAGAGGTTGATGAGGTCCATGATTCTGGATATTTCGATCTTAGTGTATTTGGTTAGATTGGGTGTTATGTAGTACTGCTGACATGGATTCTTTTGCTAGTTCTGTGTCTATGGATGTAAAAAGTGCTATGACTTTGAATGAAACCATAATTTCATCTTCCTCTATTTTTAGGTCTTTGATTTTCTGGAGGCACTGTAGTGGGGAGTTGATAGGATATTCACTCCACTCTGTGAGATGTCCAAGTTTGTTTTTTTTTTTGGTAGGTTCTTTCACTATGTTGTATGTTGGGGACTCTGGTAATGATACAATTGGATGGAGAGGTATGTCGGCTTGTGTATTTTTTGGCGTACATAGAAGCATGGACTAAGATTGAAATACCCAGAATCATGGACCTCATCAAATCTTTTGGATGGAACTTGGGGAGTTCTCTAAGCATACAGAAATCTCCTAGCCAGAATTTCTATCAATATTACACATTTCTGGCTTTATAAGACAGAGAGGTGACTAACACTACCTAACATAAATGGATTTGCTTCTGATTTAAAAGATATTATAGGATTATACTGTGGTATTGTATCCATCAGATTCTCCATTACTGGAAACTTCATCTCCACATTATTACTTCTGCACTGTAAATATGATAAGGAAGAAAGTATATAGGACTCAACTGTATTGATTTTGTGTACCATTTGCTTAATGTCTGCATACTTGTATTCAAATGATTAAAGTGGAAACCACTTCATCACTTTACAAAGTATCCAGTCTGCTTTATAGCTCAAGCAAGATAAACTGATATAAGGCTGAATACTCTGAGAGGTCAGAACCAAAGTTTTTCTTATGTGACTAAACCATGAAAAATATCAAGGCTATTCAAACAAGACCAAAACACTTTAACTTGAAATGGTAATTCATACCTATTGACCATGACTGCCACTGTGATATGATCTCACTAAATTTTATGGAATATACATGGCAAAAAAGTCAGCAATGAAAAGCTAATTACACTATGTAATATTAAAAACCTGAATCCCAACCACATGAACTCAGTAAGGATTCTTAAAATGAACAAACCCATATAAGTTCCTTTAGTAATTACATTCTTTTACACCTCTGGTTGTTGAAAATTTAGAAATAATCCATGGTTCTCAATATTAATTTGTCAATGACTAAATACACAGAACAAGCATACCTTTGACTTCTTTATCATGACATTCTTTCAGTTTGGACCACAGTTCCTTAAAATAGTCAGCTGCAGGTTCTGTGGAGTTGGGACTTCCACAATTCCCTCCAGAAGCACTCATTTTATTTGTTTATAGTTTTTCTGAATTATTGATGTTTGGCTCTTCTTTAGGTTCACATTACAGTTAGGAAACGGTTTTTTCCAGACATCTGGATTCCTACAATGACAGATACAATGCTTACAATATATTTATTAAAGTATGATTTGTTGTTGTAATCATAATATCTCATTATTTTTAGGTATGGATTAATTTTTGCATTATTAAAAAGTAACAAAATAGAAGCCGTTAGAAAGCTGACTTCTCAAAAGACAAGTTTTTCCTCAGGAAATAAATAGAAGCCATGGTTGACTGTTGCAAGAAAAAACATTAGACTTGAGGTTTCACAGATTTATTTATTATGCTGTAATAAAATAAATTTTATTATACTGCTAGCTATGGATTACAGCTTATCAAATGCATTACAGGTAGTTCTCATTTAACAACTGCCTCATTTAGCAACAGATCGCAGTTACAATGGTGACCAGCCCTTGCATTTATGACCTTCACAGGTCTGTAAAGCAAAGTAAGATCATAAGCACAGTTGTGGTTTCATTTAGCAACCGCTTCACTTAATGACCAAATTGCTAGTTCCAGTTGTGGTTGCTAAACGAGGATACCTGTACATGGATGCATTAAGTGGTATACACACCTATGCACAATAGTGGAGGAGACTGAAAATAATGAACTCACAGAGAAATGAAATGCAGAAAGTATCCTACACACTAATGCACAGGAGGTGTGGCACTAATTAAAAGTAGAATTTCAAGGCAACTGAAAAACATGGCATGCATTTCCCTTTTACAATGCATGTATAGCTGCATGTATGGTTGATTCTTATTATTCCCTAGATCTGAATGCCTTAGGGTTGGATTGGGCAACTTGCAATCCGCAGATCACATGCAGCCCTTGGATCCAATATTGCAATCTGCAGATACTACCTTGCTTGCTCTTCTCACCAGCAAGTAGCTGGCTGGAAGATCAGACTACTACCTGTTACAAAGAGAAAGAAATGTAAGTGAGCCAGCAAGCACATGGGAAAATCTTCACTTTGGCCACTATGGCAATCGTTCTTCTAAAAGGGTTGTCCACCCTGTTAATTCAGCTCCTGAGTTAAGCACACAACAGCTACCCTTGATTCGTCTTAGCCTAATCCTCAATGGGTGGTCATAGTATCTTGCTTCTACAATTTACCATCTCCCCAAGATTTAATGCCTTCCATAACCCTCAGACTGAGGTAACTTTCGCCTCCAGGGGGAACTCTAAGCATAACACGAACGCTTCAATTTATGCCCGCCATGCAGCGGTTAAAGAGAGCTCGCTAGACAGCACGACACGGCGGACACACCTCTCGAGAGAGGAGAATGTTCCTCCAGAGTTTGAGAAGAGCGGTTTTTTCAAAAAGGACGAGCGGAAAACGGTGATCCAGTTTGCAAGCTGGGCGCAACGGGGCGCGCTGTCCCTGCCGCCCAGGAAGGAGAGCCTGCGGCTGGGCTGCCCGAAGAGGCGAAACGGAGCCCTTTGTGTTTGACCAGGGAGCTGCACGGGCGCGCTCCGCTTGTGGGCGCTGAACGGGGGAGTGGAGAGGTTTTTGCCTCAGACGGGGTAAGCCCTGCGCGGACTGCTCCCTGCGACCGCGGATAACGACGAGGGGAGCCAGGAGAAGATCCGCTCCCACCAGCCGCGCCGCGCCTGAAGGGGAGAAGGCAGGGGCCGCTTGTGGCTGCAAGAAAGGGCGGGCTCTGGCACGTGGTTACCTGGTGGCGTTAATCCCTTTCATCGAACAGCAGGACAGGGAAGGCAAGCGAAGATCGGGCGATACCAGGCCTCGCCTTTGTTTTTCCAGCCCGCCAAGTCGAGGCGTTGCTCGTTCCTCGCCCCGCCGCCGACGGCTGGAGAACCAACAACTTGATCGCGGGGCTTCCGGCAGAACCGGGCTGCCCCTGCTGGCCGGAGGCTGTTTTGGCGGCTGAGAAGGGGAAGGATTTCCCTCTCTCTTACTAGGAAAAACCGCTGCACGGTGGGCCGGCCTTCAGTCGCAGCCGCGGGAAGACGAAGTGAAGGGAGAAGAAAGGGGAGCGAGTCCCAGGGCGCGTGCAGAGTGCTCCCCTTCCCCCGCCCCAGGAATGCCCGCGGGGAAACCTTTCGAAAACTTCTCGACTAAGCGGTTCCGTGCCTGCCGGCTCAGCCTGAGAAAGATGGGAGCTACCTCTGCTCTGAACGTCCACTAGAGGCCTTTTGTTTATAGAAGAATTAATGCGCCTTAATTTGGCACCAGGTCTTCAAATTCACCGGGCTCCGTCTTGCTTTTAGAATCAGATGGTTAGTTGCTGTTTCTGTTTCACTTGTTTAAAAAAGTCGCCGAAAAGTGCCCGAAATGGCTTTCTAAACCTGCGCAGCAAATCAACAGTATCGACCGTCCTTAAAATAAATAAATCAATACAGCAGACTGGCTGCTCTGTGTGGAAGCACAGGAGGGAAGGCAACCGTATTAAGGAAAGGGAGGAGTTGAAACGTCAAAGGAACATGGACATGTAGGTTTATCTGGCAAAACACACTGGCTACAAAGCGTGCTAAGGAATACTGTACAATATTAGGCTTAAATGCCTTCCAAACATACTTTTTAATGTGATTTTTGTTTAATCCTCTCCTTCAGCACAGCTGCTCCAAGTAGCTAATAAGTCCAAAGGTTTGGGATACATTAATAGCCTTGAAATTAAACAGAAAAATCAAATCTTCAATCTTTAGAAACTGAAGTGTCCTTATTTGCCTAGAAATGAGTTTTCCTTGTCATAGGCTAAAAGAGAAAAAAGCTGTTTACAGGCCTAAGTATCATTCATGTGCTAAGTGCTGAATGTAAACTTGTTTGGAAAGTTTCAAGTAGAGGAGACCTTGGGGCATGTCCAAAATGCATTTGGGAGTAGGATAAGGAACAGCTTCATTGCACTCCTAAAGAAGTTCTTCCATCTATCAACCTGTATATCTAGAGCAGATTTTGAAGGTTTGTAAGAATTTAGCTACTAACTTCATCACTTTGGATGATATGGTGCACAAAGGGGCAGCATGGAATATTTATTCTTCCCTATCTTGGAGTTGGGAGCTGGGAGAGAGGTATTTTAATAATGGTATTTATATTAGTTGTTTAAAGTGCTCATATATTTTCACATAGAGTATATTAATAACTCTATCTGTATAAACTGCTGGATTAGACCAGAGGTATATCTAGTTTAAATCCTCTTTACTAGAGTGGCCAAATGCTCTGTAAGTTTACTGCAGGGCATGAACAAAACAGTCCTCTTCTGCAGTTGTTCCACAGTTTCTGGTCAACAAAATTGTAACATAGACATCATGGATAGTAGCTATCGGTAGCTGTATGCTCCCATGAATTCCCTTTACAGCCATCTTAAGCTGATAACCACAATCTAGGCTATAGTAAATTACTGTACACAGGATATACTGTGTAAAGAAGCACTTTCATTTTCTCATCCTGAATCTTACATTACAGTATTTAGCTTTATTGAGGGACCCCAGATCTAGCATTCTGACAGCGAAAAAGTTTCTCACAGTGTAAAACAGAACAATATAATTTTTCCTCTCTAGGACATACAACATGTAATATATACTGCCAGTCCAATTTGGCCTGCCACACCTCTCTTCCGCAGGTCTCTTGTTCATCCTTCTGTCACTCAAGGCTATACTTAAAAAGAAAAACTATTTTTCTCTATATATTTTTGTAATGAAATTGAAAAGATTTGCAAATACAAATATTTGATGCATATGTAAATTCACTTTCACTACAGGATCAGTATTTAAAAATCTGTAAAAGATTGCAATTATCATGTTTAGACTCCATTTTTTAAAGAATAAATTTCATAGTTACAATAACATTTTGGCTGTAGAAAAGATAGTAAATAATCCTTTTTCAAATTCAGATTTCAAGAAATGTGTTAATTTGCATTAATACTGCAGATCCAGGCATACAATGTATGTCCCCATAAAGCTACATTTTCTTTTGGTCATGAATATACAAATAAAATAAGTTATTTGAACCTATTAAAATGAACTTCTACTTATCTGCAGTTAGAGATCTGTTGCATGAAGTTTTTATTGTAGAAAGAAATTAGGGAATTATGAAATAAATGCTGTGCACTATTTGATGTTGGATATGATTATATCCAGAGTTAATGGGATGACATATTACACCTAGCTCTGTGCTGAACTCTCATGAAAAGAATATTTCTCAATGGATTCAAAGTAGATAACTGAAATTTACTACACTGTATGTCATTTGTTTAGGAGGAATAAAAT